AAATTAGTCAAACCTCAAGTTAAGATTCTACAGTGGAGGCGAAAATCATCAAACAGTGATTTCGAGGATTCAAGAACAATCCAAGAGAAAGATTGAGTTATCTGATTGGAACACGACTTGGAAGAGAGTAATGAAGTTGTAGCACATAACTAAATGAGACAATATTATATCACTATTATATTAATAGTGTGTTTGATTAGCTTTATTTTTCATGAAAAATGTCATTTTTTCACTCAAATTTCTACTTTTAAAGTTCTGATTAGCAATTTTTTCATGAAGGTCTTGTGATTTTCCTCAAAAACAACGAAAACATTTTCTTCATGAGGATGTGATTTTTATTTTTAGGTAATTCACACACACACACACACTCTCTCTCTCTCTCTCTCTCATCTATTCACTCTCTTTCATTTACATACCAATAAAAAAATGAACAATTATAATATTTTTTTAGATTAAAACTAAATAAATCAAACACATTTAATTATTAATTTTCACACAAATAAGTTCTAAACAATTGAATTGCTTAAAATTTATTTTCTTTTTATGCAAATTTCATTCTCGCAATCATACGATCCTAAGTGTCACGTGAGTTGAAAATCATTAAGTATTGTATGAAGTACGTACTTGATTCAATATATCAGTTCGTTTTGTCATTTTAGTTTAATGTTTTTCTTGTTTTATGTTGATATATACAATCTTACTAACTCATGTTCGCGTGAGTATTCTATGTACATCAACCCCTTCTAATTTTTATTTTTCATAATTACTTATGGAATCAAGACATATTATCCAAAAACTGTCACGGTGCAAAATAAAAGCTTCATAATAAACTTATATCACGTGGATATTGAATTTTTTGCAAGAAAGAATTGACGTCCATAGTCTCTAATTTTCTCAAAATGAGATTCATTATTTATATCATTCATGTAGAGACCCCATAGAAAAATCCCGTTTAAAAGTATAATATGTTTTTTAGATTCAAAATAATATATAGTTGACTTGCAAATTTAAAAAATAAAGAAAAGATATGAGTAAAATGAGTAAAAAATTTGAAACTTTACTTATTTTTCATTAGTTTACATAATATTGACAAGGAATCTTAGGTCTCATTAGATACGGCTTTTAAAAAATCAAAAAGAAGCTTTCGAGACTCAAAAGTAGATTTTGGACCTGTTTGACTAATTTTATGAATGTGCTTCTTTTTATTTTAAGAGATTTTAGAGGAAATTGATCCAATGTGATTTTATCTAAAAACACTTCTGAAATATGAAATGTTTTAAAAATTAATTTTTAAACAAAAATTACGATAATTTCACCAACAAACTCTTCTACGAAAAACAAAAGTAAAAGCAAAACCAAACACATCCTTAAAATACTTTTCTTACGAAATTTCAAAAGAGTTTTAAAATAATGTGCAATGCTCGATCACTCCCAACTATAATATTTAAACGTACAAAAATTAAAGAGAACAAACATTAGGTGTGGATTATATGTGGACATCTGGATTGGTAAGAGGACAAGTACCAACACATTCTTTTCGCAGCTTAATTTCCATTCATCAATTTTTTCTTTACTCTTTTCCTTTTCCTTTTCCATTACCATTACCATTTTTTGGAGCTGCTTACTTTCGTTTATGTTTGTGGCAAAAAAATTGCTTGTTTGGCCTGCAATAATGAATGATTTATTTATTTTTATTTTTATTTTTATTTTTTTTGTTACAACTCTATCATATTTCGTGGTAATTGTCATTAACAATGCCCATGAATTGGAAAAAAAGATTTTAGCATAGTTCTAAAACCATGAATTTACGTCTGATGGGATTTGAATTTAGGATCTTATAGTCGTGAAAATCTTTTCTTTTGCTAGTTGAAATATGTTTTATCAGCAATATTCATTCTTTATTTGAGGAAAAACGAGAAGATTTTTTGACATAATTATAGAGATCTCAATTTAACTATAATTCCATAATTATATAATTTTATTAAAGTTAATTAATCTCAAAGTGACATATGATCATGTATTTGCAAGAACAGACTATTGGTGGACGAAATTTTTATATCCAAGAAAAAACACTCTATAAACTAATTCGCAATTCATAAAATTGAATTTAATGATTATTGTCTTTTCTAAAATTCTTCATAAGAAACCAAGGTGCCAAAACAACATAAATATTTTTGTTATTTGAGGCCACGTGTAAAGGTTGATTTAACCCCAGTTTGACTATCATTAAAATGAATTTTTTTGTAAGGAAAATGAGTTTTTGAAATAGAAATTTTCAGAGAATGAGTGATTGAAAATTCAGAAAAAATATTTAATATACATTTATAAAATATTTTATTGTGAAAATGTGTTATTTTAATGATGGTCAAATAATGGCTTAGGAGTTCATCATACAAGAGTGATTTCAATCTTGGAATTCGATGGTCCAATGTGCCTGAAACCCTAATATTTACACAGGGGTGGACCCACATGGGGTCATGTGGGGTCAAATAACCCCACAAAATTTTGCCTCTATTTTTTTTTCTTTGCAATCTATTTTGATGCACTCGTCGAGATGCCATATAAAGTCAAAATATTGCATTCTTAATACCATTTCGAAATGCTCATGGTCTAATTTTTCACTCATTAATGGTATGCGAATTGGTCAAATATAGCAAAAGTTATGACATGTTAAAATAGGGCGTTTGAAACTAGTATTTTGAGAATTTCGATAATATCCCAACTTTAAAAATTCGTTTGCGATCATGTGCTATCTGAATCCACAAATCGTCTATGTCATGTAAAAATTTGTTTCGAAAACTACATCGTCTTCATATCGAATGGTCCAAACGGATATCGAAAATAATTAAATATATATATCAAACGTACGCCTCAAAAAAGACGTGTAACTCGTTTTTTCTTTTAAAAAATTCAATTAATTATTATTTTTACACGATAAATTTTTCAATATAGTTTATATCGTTTCATTCAGAAGTCTTACATGAAATATGATGTAAATTTTTTAGGATCGTTACGAATTAAATGCAATTTGAATTACTTTCGAATTATATTTGCTTTAAATTTGAATTTCATTTATTTCCTAAACTAAACTTGAATTTTATTTCAATTCATTTAATTTTTATATTCACTTTAATTTACTCAATGTTAGCTTAGCATTTGCCAATGAAATGATAAACAAAACTATACAAGTAGCAAAATTTATTTAATAATATTAATAATGATATACTTATACGACGTTTTCAAAGTATTAAAATACATATAAACTTATTTTCATTGACATTTTGTTATTTATTAAAAAAATTATTTTTAAAATTTTGACTCCACAATGTTAAACGTCAGGATCCACGCCCTGACACACAATATAGATATAATAATAAAATACACGTGTAAGGTAGGATAAGGAAGAACGTTAATTCCATTTTTTTTTATTAACATAAAAGTAAGGTGAGGTACAAGGCTGACCGACTAGTAGTACTTCATTCGAATTTTTTATGTCTCGTGACTTGCACATGAAAATCTAAATAAAAATAATTGCATTTTAATTCAAACCTCATGAAGCCTTTTTTTTTTTTTTAATAATTCAAACCCCATGAAACAATTTTTCTTTTAATTATTTTTATTAATCTTAATTTTGACCAGAGAATTGATACCACCGCGAAGCATCAATGCGTCCATTTAGCTGACATCTCACCACTGACCACTTCTCACTTTCATTTATTTTATTCATTAGTTCTTTCTTTAAGAATTGTTTGTCAAATATTATTTTAAAAATATGCACAAAAGAAGCTTTTAGTCTCAAAAGGTTCAAATTTGAATAATGTCAAAATCCCCATATTAATGCTTTCATCGAAGGCCCTCATTCTTTATTGAGTCCATGCACTACATTGTCATAGTTTATACGATATTAAATGAAATTGAAAATTAAAATATATAAGATAAGCATTAATTGTCTTTTCCGACATCAACATCTACACTTAATGACTTGTCTAATATGATCAATTAGACAAAAATCGACAACATTACTAACAAAACAAAAGCACGCTAAATTCATTGTCTTCTCTTTTCCATCTAATAATCCCCCACTCAAGTTTGGATTTGTTATCCCGACTTAGTGGTCTCATTTGATGATGAGACATTTGTGGCCGTTTGTTAGGGTTTCTAAATTCTTCCTTCAGCTAACTAAATTCACACAAAAAAAAGGGTCTCTCTTTCGGAAGAATTTTTAGAAGAAATCATATTGAGTTTGCTTTCTTTAAAAACTTATATTGCTCGATCGAATATTTGGGTACATAAGGGTGTCCACCCTCTCACGTGGGTGGTGCCCGCTTGAATAAAATATTCAAGTGGACCCCACGTTTATAAATAAAAAATTATGTACAAGTATCTTTATCCTTCTCGTATATAATCAAATGACTTAAAATCTCGCCCCTCGGGACATAACCCAGTAGTGTAAAGGATAACGATGAGGTATACTCAGCCTTGCTGACAGTCGCAGTGTGAAGGTTCGATTTCTTAAACATGGATTGAGACTCTTTGTGGGCACTAGCGTACATGCAGCTCTTGTTCTCTGGTCTGTTGGGACACATCTCGCGGTTAACCTCTCTCACGATGCTCCAGGAATGAAACGATAAGAGATCCTTAAGGTTGAGGTTCAACTTTTAAATGACTTAAAATCTCTTTTTATCTTCTCAAAAATATCCCAAACGGTTGTTGAGTCAGGACAACATATTTGAACTCAACACGACCCCCAAACATTGAGCGTACCGCTTCTCGCCCGCAGTAGTATAACAAGTCAGCACATCACTGAAATCAATAACTTTTGTACACAATAACCAAGAATATTAGCTCTGCAACGTATACTACTCCCATAAAGACGGCGTAGTCAAACATGTCAATTAATGATCTTCTCCATTTCTTGTAGATTTTCAGAATCCAATTCGAGAAATCATTTTTCAAGCAATAAAACCCTTATATTTTCTTGAAATTTCATTCACTCAGCCATGGGGAAAACCAGAGGTTTCAAGCTTGGACACAAGCTGGTCACGGTGTTCAAATGGTGCCTTCGTCGGCGCACACGGCGGAGAGCCACATATCAGCAGCTGGAGCCATCGCACAGCAACACTGGAGCTGTTTCAAAGATCTGCAAATGGGTTCAGTCATTGAAGCATGGGGCTAAAGGCTTATGTTATGCAAAAAATGGTTCGGGTCGTTACATACGGGTCGGGCAAGAACCGGTTGAGCCGGTGAGTGTACGAAAAGGGGACCTGGCTGTGTACGTGGGCGACAAGGAGGATGGCACGTGTCGTGTCTTGGTGCCTGTGACGTATATAAATCACCCCTTGTTTGGAGAACTGTTAAGGGAAGCTGAGAAGGTTTACGGGTTCAATCATCCGGGTGGGATCCAGATTCCTTGCCGGAAATCCGAATTTGAGAATGTTCAGAGGAAGATCGCCGCCGCGTGCGGTGTTGATAGCTGCCGTGGGAAGCGGAGCTGGAGGCTGAAGTGACTCATTGGACCACTGCGATTTTTGTGGAGGTATGAGTGCAGCATTGGCTCTCCCATCGCAAGGTCCGTTGGTGGCGGGGTCCACCTCCACATCAGATGGTTGGAGTTTTTCCTCTGATTTTCCTTTTTCTTAGTTTTGGTCTTTTAGAAAAACTTGTACAAATCTTTTCGCTCTGCTCAATCTTCAATTTTTGGGTATGCCCAAATGAATTTTATATCATATTAGTTACGATATGGTTTTCTATTTTTTCATAACTATATATTGAACTCAAAAGAAATTTAAAATTTTCTATCATGCTACATGTGTATCATTATTTACACCTAGTTTAACATTTCAATGAATCGACGGATCTCTAGACATTTGGGTCATCTTACCCGCCCCTTGACTAATTCCACGGAATCCTGAAATTTACAATCGAGTACTCATCTCAGTGACCCTGAAGAAATGCAAATTGGTGATTATTGAGAAGCAAACTCAAAGCTTAATCATTGAACTACCCCTTAGGATTTTTAACAACACTATTTTTTCAAACAATGAATAGATTTTTCATAGTAGGATTGTCAAACAAGATGTATATATTTGGATGTACAAATAGCTTCATCCTTAAAATTTATACTGAAAAAAAAGTAGGATTATATCATAACAAAGTGGGACTATTAACGAGTCATAATGCATCAAGAATGTTCATGATACGAATGTACTTAATATGATGATGTAATGGTTTTCTATGTTAAAGTTTTTACAACCCTGCTACAAGTACACCTGAGTTACACATTGATTTATACTCTTTGAAATGATATGATCTTTACCACTGATTTTTCCCCCATTTTTCCCATTAAAATGCACGGGTTCCCCCACCCCCCACTCCTCATAAGGGGGAATGTCATGCTAGATGTTTAGGGCCAAGTTAGGAATTCATTTTGAGATCTCATAGAGGAGAGTCATAATGTATCGAAAGATGGTCCTAGGTCCCTGTTTGTTTCGTCTATAAAGTCAATTAAAATTTAAGTCAAAATTAACAATAAATTTTAATCACACATTTATAAATTTCCCAACTTTTTAATCACATATTTTATCAACTTTTATAAAAATCTGCTAAAAAATTATTATTATTATTATTATTATTATTATTATTATTATTATTATTATTATTATTATTATTTATCTATTTCAGATAGGAACTAAATTGACAATTCAACAAATTTATTGAGACATCTGCAATTTTTGCGATTAATCAATTTTCCTATGTACTTATCAAGTGAGGCTTACAGTCGCAAGTAACTTAAAATTTCAATCTTCTTGTCCTCCCTAATTATGAGTTGTCTTCTTCTTCGAGTTATAAATAGCATACAGCATGCAGATAGGATTAAAATTTTGGTTGATTGAATATTGAATAAGTTAACTAAGAAAACGATGGGTGTCTAATGTGACATAGATATTTTACCTGCCCGGTCCCAAGTGCACCAAGGCCTATATTTTATTTGAGTTTGGAAAATTTTAAATCGACAAAGTTTAGCCTCCATTTGATTGGGATAAAGATTCTAATAAAAAATGATAAAATATATGATTAAAATGTTGATAAAAACTGCGAATCTCATATGTATAATTGAAAATGAGTTTTAAGAAAAATAAATTTTAAAAAATAAGGTTAAGTGATACTCATAGAATCCTCCTCCGTGTTTCGATTATTCAATTTTGGGTCTACTCGTGGAGGAGTTCATCGTTTAGCAATAATCCATGATGTTATGTTCAGACACAGAGTCTCAAGATAAACTCTATAAATTTGAACATCCAATTTCATTCAGGAAGAACATGTTCAATACATGTTTGGCTAAGCTTAAAACGTTCCCTCCCTTACAGGGTAATAATAACTTCTAGAATATATAATTTTACCTTAAATTTCCAGACTTTTGAAAATTAAAAAATCAATATTGACATGTTATTTTGTATTTATATCTTTCAATTTTGTATTTTATTTTATTTTATTTAAATTTTAACTGTTATTTATGGTCAATTAATTCTGACGTTTAATCCTAGAAATGACCTAAGTATCGCTAATTTTAAAAATAAATCCTCACATCTAATAAATCTTTGAAAAATCGAAATAAAACCTAATTTTTCGATGGCCAAGAATAAGGCAGTTATGGATTTTGCTACTTGTGCATTAAAAATATACATAATGGATGACATAATATGATGTGGAGAGAAAAAATTGAATATATTTTAAACGGGCAAATGATAGAGTGTCATGTGGCATTATGTAATCCATTATGTAAATCTTGATATACATGTAACAAAGTCTGAAAATTATTGCTAACTCCCCTAAAAAATATTGAAAAATACTTATTGTACATCACCATTATTTACATAATCTTTTACATATTGATGAGGTTTTTGACGAAATGATTTTTTTTTATGAGATTTTAATCCAATCAAATCTCATTACATCATTTATTGGTTAACAAATCTGTAAGTAGTGATATACATGCTACACAATTGAAATTTATTTATTTGTGATGGAAAGTCGTATCTCCTCATTAACATTTGCATAATAATACATTGAGAAACTCAAAAACAAGAAAGCATTCACACGCCCGGACGACATGCCCGAGTGAACGATAATAAATTGATACAAAATGGAAAAATATAAGAGTGTGTTTGATTGGCATGAAAAATATCACCTAGAAAAGAAAATGTTTTCCATCTTTTGTGGAAAATAAAAACCACATCTAATCAAGGAAAATGTTTTCCTTAAAAACAAGGAAAATTAGGCATATTTTCAAAAGTTGGAAAATGTTTTCTATGGAAAAAAAATAGCAATCAAACACTCTAAATAAGAATTTAGGTGGAAAACTGGTATTTTTTATGGAAAATAAATGTAATCAAACACACCCTAACGTTGAAGACGAGAATGGACAGCAAAGAACGGAGAAAAATTGAACAGAGAACCCTACAATTCCTCCAAAAATTTATTGTTCGTCTGCAGAAGGAGAAAAGAAATATATGTTGAATTTGTAAAACGCCACTTTCTTTTAAATTACGGAGTTGAACTTTTACAGTTGTTAATTCCAACTGTTAATTAGGTAATGTCAAATTGTTAAAAAAAATAAAAAAAAATTCACAGTATGTTTGAAACAGGGACAAAAAAGAAAGGTATTTACCTAAAAATATGGTAATAAATAGCTTCTGAAATATATAATTGATTATTGGTCGAAGTAAAATAAGAATCGTTGTGTAAAATAAACTTAAATTTATAAAAAAATGGCCTAAAACCTCTTCAATAAAGAGATGCAAATGAAATTTAAATTGCGTTCCTGGCAAAAAGATGTAAAAATAACACGTAAATTTACATCTTTTTTCCACAAGCCAGTGTTTAGAAGATTTTAATTCAAATCGAAGTCAATAATTAATTTTAATCACAGATTTTATGGAGCTCTTAATTTTGAACTAAGACATTTCATTAATTTTTATCAAAATATACTAAAAACTAATTTTAATCTTTCAGCAAACAAGGGCTAAAAATGTAAGTTTGCTTATTTATTTATTTTTTACATCCACTATAGGCAAAAAGTGAATTTAGAACTTCTATTGAAACACATTCTGAATTTGGACCAATCAAGATCTAAATAAGGATGCAAAAATGATTTAATTTATATCCAATTTTACACTACAATTGAAGATACTCTAAGTTACTTATTTTGACAATTAGAGTATTGTTACTTGGAAAATATAAGTAAGTCAGAAAAAGCAACAAATCTAAACACGTTTGAGGGGGGAAAAAAAAATAATAATAAATAAATAATGGTTACTTTCCGCTTAACCTTTACATTTTTAAGGTATTTTCCATGGATCATAAATAGAAAATTCAGGATTCCTTTCTAATTTTACTTAGTCTATTGGATAGTCCTACTTTCTAATGATAATGGCAGATTTTTATAAAATTCGCTTTATTTTTATGACTATAAATAGCTCATTCCTCAATTCAATTAATGCTTCAGATTTCTATACTTGTTTAGTTGGTTCTTTCTTATTTTTCTACCAATTATAGAAAGATAAAAGCAACAGCTTTTTTTATCCATTTGAGAGTCCATATTATTATTATTATTATTATATTTTTTTATCAGTGGTATCAGAGTCAGGCTGTAGACTAAAATCCGTTTGTTCTTCCCAAGAATCTGCAGTGCGAAAATAAAATAAAAAATAAAAAATCCGTAAACAGATTGTGCATCTGTTTTGCAACGAATTTTTAAATTGATTCATAGAACCTTGCATTGCAGTAGCAATAATAGATGTCGTCTGAAAATTTTGTGTAACCAGTCAATCCATTTTGATGGCCTCTATGACCATTGTAGCATGCTAATGGAGAATTTTTTGAGGTCTAAAGAGCATTGGCATGTTATTAATTTTGGAGTAATAACACCTACTATTAGAGTGGTACTAACAGAAGCACAAAAGATAGAATTGGAAGGACTAAAGACTAAGCTTTGAGAAGGGATTTTGAGACTCTACAAAGGAAAGATTGTGAATCCATTACCAGCTATTGTGCAAGGACCATAGGGATAGCTAACAAAATGATAATCCATGGTGAGACGATGGAAAATCTTGCAATTGTTAAGACTATATTACATTACTTGGCATCAAAGTTTGATTATATAGTTTGCTTAATTGAAGAATTCAAAGACAGAGATGCACTCCTCCTTGATGAGCTCTTTATTGGTTCATGAACAAAAGATGAACAGAAGTTCAACATTAGATGAGCTAGCTTTAAAGGCTTCCACCTTTACTCAATTCTCGAATTTTAGAGGAATGGGAAGAAATAGAGGAAAGGGAGGTCGAGGTAATAGAGATGGCAGCATGCAATATCAAAAATTTTAAAGTTAATTATGATCAATTTCAAAGCAAGGTAGAGAACGTGGTCAATACTTTGACAAATCCAAGGTATAATGCTACAGGTGCCATAACTTCGGTCATTATCAATCTGAATATTAACAATAAGAGAA